CTCCAAACAAGGCGTCAAGTTTTACACTGTGGGAAACATTCAGGAAGTGGGTTCGTTGTGGAAACCATAGACTGTATGTCAACGGACCATGCTAACTCCCAAAAGGGAAGTGCTCATGGACAAAGCTTTGCTCCATCTCTGGCTCCTGTAGAGTTCCTGAAAAGATTAAAGATAAAAGTCTAAGGTAAAAACAAAACTGTATGAAATCGGCAATACAATGGACCAGCAACAAGGGGAGGAGCACAGGTACATATAGACACAGGTACATATAGACACAGAGAGACACAGGTACACCGAGACACAGGTACATATAGACCAGTGTTTTTCAACCTTTTTTGAGCCAAGGCACACTTTTTTCACTGAAAAAATCTTGCGGCACACCTCCAGGAGAAAATGTAAAAATGTATACAGTTCTAATACATATATACTGTACATACTCTGTGTGATATATAAAGTATATCTTATCTTATCTTATAATGTATACAGTATACTCTGTAGCCTATATTCACAATATACAGTTATTCTCATCAAAATGCTTAAGTCCAGGCCTTGACATTAAGCTTTATTTAATATTTCTCGAGAGTTTGGGAATAAAGTGGCACTAACTGTGTGGAAAAAAACTAAGAAAATCCACTCTCTGCCCAAATAGTCAAATAATAACTCACACAAAGAACATGCATTGTTAGTGCATGGGAAAAATGTAGGTATCCGAGCTTTAAATTCAGGAGTTTTGGATGAGGGACAAGGGAGGTCCTGAACGCGAGTCCATGGTTCTGTCCGGTCCGCAGACCAGTATGTACCAGTCCGAGACACAGGTACATATAGACACAGGTACATATAGACACACAGAGACACAGGTACATATAGACACAGGTACATATAGACACAGGTACATATAGACACAGGTACATATAGACACACATGTACATATAGACACAGAGAGACACAGGTACATATAGACACAGGTACATATAGACACAGGTACATATAGACATACAGAGACACAGGTACATAGAGACACAGGTACATATAGACACAGGTACATATAGACACACATGTACATATAGACACAGAGAGACACAGGTACATATAGACACAGGTACATATAGACATACAGAGACACAGGTACATATAGACACAGGTACATATAGACACAGAGATACAGAGACTGCAGCTGTGGCTAAAGTAGTAGTTTATCACCACTGTGTTTGGAGATAAAGAATAAAAACATTTTTATATAAAAGCAATGCATTATATCTATTATTTTTATTATTCTTATTATCATAACCTTTCAGACGCCTTTAACAAGTGTAATAAAGTTTTCATCTCTGAACAGCAGGACTTCAGTCAGAACGGTCTGTGGTGAATCCTTCCACTGTGTTTGTGTGTTTCTGTAATCTATGTTTTAGATCATGGCTTTGATCACAATCCGCTGTAAACAGTGTGTTCTGAGCCAGACCCAGATCACGGCCGAGTCCAGAGCGCTGCTAAACTACAACGATGCTCGGCCAATCTCTGTGTGCGCAGCTCATGGAGATACTGACCAAACATGCAGCGAAACATGCAGCGAAACATGCGGCAAAACATGCAGCAAAACATGCAGCAAAACATGCAGCAAAACATGCGGCAAAACATGCAGCAAAACATGCAGCGAAACATGCAGCAAAACATGAGGCAAAACATGCAGCAAAACATGCAGCAAAACATGCAGCAAAACATTCAGCAAAACATGCAGCGAAACATGCAGCGAAACATGCGGCAAAACATGCAGCAAAACATGCAGCAAAACATGCAGCAAAACATGCAGCAAAACATGCGGCAAAACATGCAGCAAAACATGCAGCGAAACATGCAGCAAAACATGAGGCAAAACATGCAGCAAAACATGCAGCAAAACATGCAGCAAAACATTCAGCAAAACATGCAGCGAAACATGCAGCGAAACATGCGGCAAAACATGCAGCAAAACATGCAGCAAAACATGCAGCAAAACATGCGGCAAAACATGCAGCAAAACATGCAGCAAAACATTCAGCAAAACATGCAGCGAAACATGCAGCGAAACATGCAGCAAAACATGCAGCAAAACATTCAGCAAAACATTCAGCAAAACATGCAGCGAAACATGCGGCGAAACATGCGGCAAAACATTCAGCAAAACATGCAGCAAAACATGCGGCAAAACATGCGGCAAAACATGCAGCAAAACATGCAGCAAAACCTCATCCCCTCTCCTCTTGTGTTTCTGTTGCTTTGAAACCAGCGTCTCGGTCCTGGTTCTAAACGAGGGACTTGAGTTCACAGGAAGAAGGTCCTGGGTTTCTTTCCCACCCCTCGACCAGACGAGGCCTTACTGTGGCAAACAGAACAAACACAGAGACATCGGTCCACAGGAGCAGGACGACCTCTGTGTGTTATTGTTAATAAATGTCCAAACATCTCCTTCTCCGTATGTCTCAGTGTGAGATATTAACGGCTTATTAACCGAGCGTGAGGTCTGTATGGAGAAATATCAGACCGCGGCCTTAATGTACAGACAGAGCCGTGGCGAGGTCTGTGCAAAAAGGCCTAGGTCTGATATTCCTCTTGTTGTCAAAAAAGATTTGACTGACGTGTTCAAAGTTTGATACAGAAAACAGACGAAGATATCCAAGTTTAATATTTGTATTTAATTTATCTTTACAATCAGATACAGAATATTCAACAAAAAGAGCTCCTAAACTATGCTATGCTGTCCCTGTGCTGACTGACTGAAAATCTCCTCTCAGCAGTTTCTATCAGAAGGTCCGATGACGTCACAGGTCCCAGACTGGTCCAGTCTGATCCAGCTTTTTCTGGTCTTGGGAGGCGCGTACTCCAGCCAGCCCACGGACTCCGGACTTTGTCTGGTCTGGTCTTGGTCTGGTCTGACATCAATCTCCTTCTCCAAACAACTCTTATCTGGCTGGGGGAGCTCTGCATTCCTCACATGGTCTGGCCGACTCGACTAGACCCCACTAATATGAAATCACTGAAAATATAAACGACGTGTGCAGCATTTCTTGAGATGATGCATTACTCTGTACAGACGGAGCAAGCAAGGTTAATAAATGTTTTATTATATGACTCTCGTCTGTGTCTTTACCAATGCTTTTGAGATATTTGTGAAGTATGTTCATGTCCGACTTGGTTTTCTGTGATACGGGCTGTGGACCGATTGTCATGGTAACGGTCCGAGATGGGAAAATATCAGACCGGTACGGTCCAAGTCATATAATAAGTAAGTCTTATCTCTAATGTCTTGGATCATCACCGTCCTCAGACTCTCCTGAATCTGCAACAAATGAATAAAACACTTTGAAAATAGTGAGAAAAGAATCTGCTTTACCTGCTGTCCCTCAGACGGATGGCGATAAAGTCAGGCTCAGGTTGTAGAATGTTCTCCCCGTGTCTGCGTGGGTTTCCTCCAGGTGCTCCAGGTTCACCTTCCACTTGCAGTATGTCTTTGCAGCTGTCTGAGATTCCTTTCACTCTTACTGCAGACTAAAGCACTCACAGATGTTGAGCTAAAACTGCTCCTGGGATGTTTTTGAAGCTGGAACATTCTAAAGTATCTCAATAATAGTGTCATTTTAATCCGGAGCGTTGGAGATCCTAACTGTGTGGGCCTTCGGGCAAACTACTAATTTCCCAATATCAAGGGATAGTTCTGAAACACATTTTTGTTCTGAATTTTTTCCCTGCGATTGTAGTTTGGGCTGAAATTGATGAGAGCAGCCCCGGCCCCTGCAGACACCGAGGAGCTTCACTGGCTCTTTAAACATTCATGCATTCACCAAACAATTTTCTCTGTCTAATCTGAGGACGTTAGCAGCAAACTAAATTATGCATCAGCAGGTTTGTCTGCCGCTGGAAATGAAGGTTGTGGAGGAGAGAGAGAGAGATCAGTGAGGTTAGAGCAGCGGGACCAGCCCAGCTCAAAGACTTCCATCTGTGAGAGCACACGGAGCAGGGGCCGCTCCTCAGACTGAATACTTCAATAATATTAATACTAATATGAGCTGCGACTGTGACCCCGAGGTAAAAAGCCATGTTTCTTACACCATTTCTCAGTTTAAAGGAAAGTTAAATTGTTAAAGGGGTTTGTGTGTCTGGAAACGCTGTTATACATTCACTTGAGGAATGATTGCAATAATAAAACTCTTAGAATTAAACTTAGACTTAGACAGACTTTAGATTTAGTTTATTAAATATTTAGAAATGTGGGTTAGGGTTAGGGTTAGGGTTCAGTATCAGTATTTACTGATCAAAAACATTTATACTACAGACGGGACATTATGGCTAAATCATGGCAAGTTTATTTGTATATAAAATCATCCATATTCACAGAACATTAAAACAATTAATACAAAATCTCTCAGGGCTTCTCTGAGTGGAGTTTGCATGTTCTCCCCGTGTCTGCGTAGGTTTCCTCCAGGTACTCCGGTTTCCCCTACCACTAAAAACATGCTAACTAGGTTAAATCCTCCAGCTCTGGTCCTGACCAAGCCGAGCATCGACATCTGGAGATGGGTTCCCGGGCGCTGTTACTAGATTTGGATTTGAACATTACCGGAGAAGAAGTCATGAATCTGAAATGCAGACTCTCCATGTTTAGTTCTGATTCTAGCTTTTATTATTAACTTTGTTGCTTCGACAGCTGCGTGGCTTAGTTTTTACTGCAATAACTTTATTTTTGAACAATTACAAACACAGCACAACAGCTCCCTCTGGTGGCAGCAGTGGGAATCCCATGATGAGAGCATTTTGGTCTCTTACACACACCAAACGTGCCAATCCTTATGTTTCCTACATACAGCACTCCTTCACATTCTAAAGCATGATATGTTTATGTGAATAGTGCAGGGAATGGTCTCCATACGACTCTACTAAAGCAAAGTATAAATCTGCTCCGTGTAGAAGATTGTGTCTCTGTCCCTGCACTTTTCTAAACGCTGATATTTCTGCAGTTTCTGAAGACGATGGTTCTCAGCAGAAATGGAAACGTATGAGTGCACTTTTCTTTTCTGCTTTGGTCTAAAATACAAGAATTATGACCAGAAATAGCTCCGGGTTTTCTCCTGAGTGGGAGAATAATGGCTCCTGTTACCGTCGGTCCGGCTGCTTTTGGATCGACCGCCACATGTTTCACAAACTACAGACATTACCACGTACATTACCACGTACATTACAACGTAAATTATCACGTACATTACAACGTAAATTATCACGTACATTACAACGTACATTATCACGTACATTACCACGTACATTACAACTTACGTTACAAAGTACATTATGTAATGTTTTTGACCTGGACTAGGGGGGACCAGAGTGAGACCGGAGGTCCATGGCGGCCTCTCTCTAACCCAGAGATCCAGCGCCTCAGAAAAGCCAATAGTAAAGTATTCTCTCCGTGTAATGTTTTGTTTCTGTTGCATCATAAACCTCGGACCAGAGCGAGAGTGGGTCTCGAACTGATGATCGGAAACTAAAACACACATCATTATCATTTATTATTTATTATTGTGGAGGCCAAATGTGGATTGTTATTTTACTGATTGGACATTTTAATTACATGCCTAGAGTCGGAGGATTCTTTTCCTTCTCTGATTTGCAGTTGACAGTTTTCCCCAAACTAGTGAATGATGGAATGTTGGGTCATTTCTGCAAAAATAACGATTTTCCCAAAAGTCCATTTGGAGAAAGTGGAAACAGGGACTGGAACATATGTACGGGTCCGTTCATGTTTATGGACGTCGGTTCTCGGCTCCTTTTGGAACAATGTTGGACTGTGGATTCTCTGATCTGTGTTGGAGAATCGACAACTTTGTAACGTCCTCGGAGACGACTGCAGTTGGGATTTAGAGCGATACAAAAATACATTGAATAAATATTTCCTGAACATGACGTTTGAAGTCTCCTTTGATGAGGAAGAGAGGAAGTAAAACATGAAGGGAAACCCAAGAATATAATAAATGTATCTCATATTTTTAACACTTTCATCTTTAGGATTCAGGCGCCAACACAACTCTCTGGGAACTACGTTTGTTATTACATGTTGGACCAATGAGAGTCCCAGAACCTTTTATCAGACTCAGAATCTGTCGTTGTCTGTGAACGGGTTTACCACAGACACTGACACTAACTGTCTATTTTCTTTTTCCTGTGGATCGGAAATACACAAACATGAGAAATAAACAAAGGCAGTCGCCAAAAGATTTGACTTTACTTTTATTTTAAACGCGAGGTTCTTTTGGATTCTGTGATGTCACATGAACACAAAGACCATGAGACCCTGAGACAGAAGTTAAATATTAAAGTAACATACTGTAAATGTTCTTATTTCCTGCCCACATCTGCAGCTTTCACTGGACGTTAAACATGACGTTAAACATGACGTTAAACATGACGTTAAACATGACGTTAAACATGACGTTAAATATGCATTAGTGTATTAGATCGTGTCCCACAGAATCCAGCTGATTCCATCAAACACTTCTATAATGAATCCATTCATTCACTGCTTCATCAGACGCTTTTCCATCAACACGACTATAAAGAAGCTCCGCCGCAGACGCCGCATCAGCTCGAAGCAGTCGCAGCTCGTGTGAAGTGGGAGCGGCGCAGCTCTGGGCAGTTCAGAACAACAAAGACATGTCACTCATTAAGATGAAAACTTACCCTGGGAACGTGTGGGAACGCCCCTCTGGCCACGCCCCTCTAGCCACGCCCCTCCATGACAGTGATAGTGGAATAATATAGTTCAAACTTGTTTTTCTCTGTTTATGTTTATCTCAAATATGACACAAGTTAGTCTCCAAAATGGAATGCTCCCAATATTCCCATCGTAACTTCCCACGGACATGTACCAGGTGTTTTACCAGAAACACTCTCTTCAATAACACCTGGTCTCCCTCATGAACACCTGGTCTCTCTCATTAACACCTGGTCTCACTCATTAACACCTGGTCTCTCTCATTAACACCTGGTCTCACTCATTAACACCTGGTCTCTCTCATTAACACCTGGTCTCTCTCATTAACACCTGGTCTCTCTCATTAACACCTGGTCTCTCTCATTAACACCTGGTCTCTCTCATTAACACCTGGTCTCTCTCATTAACACCTGGTCTCTCATTAACACCTGGTCTCTCTCATTAACACCTGGTCTCTCTCATTAACACCTGGTCTCTCTCATTAACACCTGGTCTCTCTCATTAACACATGGTCTCTCATTAACACCTGGTCTCTCTCATTAACACATGGTCTCTCATTAACACCTGATCTCTCTCATTAACACCTGGTCTCTCTCATTAACACCTGGTCTCTCTCATTAACACCTGGTCTCTCTCATTAACATATGGTCTCTCATTAACACCTGATCTCTCTCATTAACACCTGGTCTCTCATTAACACCTGGTCTCTCTCATTAACACCTGGTCTCTCTCATTAACACCTGGTCTCTCTCATTAACACCTGGTCTCTCTCATTAACACATGGTCTCATTAACACCTGATCTCTCTCATTAACACCTGGTCTCTCTCATTAACACATGGTCTCTCATTAACACCTGGTCTCTCTCATTAACACCTGGTCTCTCTCATTAACACCTGGTCTCTCTCATTAACACCTGGTCTCTCTCATTAACACCTGGTCTCTCTCATGAGTCTGTTCATTCAGAACCATCTGAAAAAGCCAAATGTTTAAACATTATTTTTGCTCAAACTAAACCCGGGAATAATTGCAGTTGAGCTTTAAATGAGGTTTAATCTACTTTCATGGCACCGGCCCCGAGGTTTCCTGCTCCACGCCACGAGGGATTCCCATTTTTGCATCTATTAATCTGATTAATCTGAGTAATCTGAGTAATCTGTAGCGAAGCAGCCACTGGAGAAACGTGTTCGCCGTTCATTTACTCACAGCTCATCTGCATTTACAGACATCAGCTGCTGATCAAGAACACACAGCCCCAATACTAGACGTATACGTTAGTATACTATACTATACTAGACCTATACGTTAGTATACTATAGAATACTATACTGTACTAGACCTATACGTTAGTATACTATAGAATACTATACTGTACTAGACCTATACGTTAGTATACTATAGAATACTATACTAGACGTATACGTTAGTATACTATAGAATACTATACTATACTAGACGTATACGTTAGTATACTATAGAATACTATACTATACTAGACGTATACGTTAGTATAACCAGGATCACAAAGTGCTTCACACATTAAAACACATAAAATACACATACAAGTCAGATTTAAAAACAAAAACACAGTTTACACAGTTCACAGAGGACTATGAACAGTTCACAGAGGACTATGAACAGTTCACAGAGGACTATGAACAGTTCACAGAGGACTATGAACAGTTCACAGAGGACTATGAACAGTTCACAGAGGACTATGAACAGTTCACAGAGGACTATGAACAGTTCACAGAGGACTATGAACAGTTCACAGAGGACTATGAACAGTTCACAGAGGTCTATGAACAGTTCACAGAGGACTATGAACAGTTCACAGAGGACTATGAACAGTTCACAGAGGACTATGAACAGTTCACAGAGGACTATGAACAGTCAGTTCAGCTGGAGGCTGTTGTCACTAAGCCATATCTTTATTCTGTCTAGACAGTTAGTGAGAGCAACCAGTCTCTGGGGCTCAGAGGGCTTAAAAGAGCAGTACAGCTGGTCTGCATACAGGTGGTAGGAGACCTCACTGAACTGCTGGATCAGCCTAGAGGGAGCAGGTACATCATAAACAAAATAGGCCCAAGAACGGAGCCTTGGGGTACACCCCACTGTAGGTCTGCGGATAGTATAGTAGTATACTCTACTAGACGTATACGCTAGTAGAGTATACTATACTATACTAGACGTATAGCATACTATAGTATGCTATACTAAAAAAAAAATCACAATTGTAAACCGCTTTGAGACTCCAATGTGCAGTGAAAAGGCGGTATATAAATAAAGATTACTTACTTACTTACTATACGATACTACAGCCACACTAATGCCTTTTAGTTCGAGGGATACTTTGATCTTGTCCAAGAGCAGAAAACCTTTTATTGTTGAGCTTTAAAATTATGGTCTCTTGTTTGTCTCTTGGACTGAGGACTACAGGGAGACCGTGGGTGATCTCTGACGACTACAAGGAGACCGAGACCATGGGAGACCTCTGAGCTCATCACCGCAGGCTCACAGGCTGAAATAGTTCTGACTTCTGACTGTGACGACCCCAGACTTGTGGGGTTTGAGTTCTTTCTCTTCCTTCCATGATCAGCCAATGGGAGAGCAGAATGGGCAGCACCTGGAGGTGGGAGGGGCTCTCAGGAAGTCATGCAGTCTCTGTCATGTTATATTAGTTTGTTATATTAGCTGCAGAAAAAAAATACTACAGCTACATTTGAGCCATTCAGACTTTTGTGCCACAATCACAAATACATATAAATGTGAGCATAACCTAACGACAGGATTCAACAGGTTTATGGTTGACCATGACGTGTAGCACATCTGAAGTTGGCTGGATGACACTGTGTTATTATCAGAATGGCTGTTTCAGAAGGACTTTTCACAGGCCTGCACTCACCAAACCATACGTCCACTTCTTCTTCTTTTCCTCCAGAGAGTTAGCCTTATGAACTTAAATGATTAGCATCGGTGGTTTTCGACCCAAAAGGCACAGAACAAAATGGCCTTTTCACCGCAGCACAGTTAGTTTCCTCTGTCACTTGTCACTCGACGATTCTCCCAGACTTTCTCAGCCACTTTGGGCTGGAAAAAGATCCATTTCTGTGATGATTTGAACAAATGTAAGTCGTACGGAAAAACACATTCTTTACTACATCGTTTCAATGCTTAGATTTCAGATTATTATGATTACTACACTTTTACTGCAGAGTCACTAGTATCATGGATTATATAATATATAGATCGACAAACTCAAAGACACAAACTTTACTCTTCAGGATTAGATTTTCTTTTGAAACAGAAAAACCTCTTTGACCAATCAGGTGTGTAGTAGCTCTCAGTTCACTTATTTACGTTTTAATAATTACACATGACTGAGAACGGCAGTTTACAAAAGCCTACAGACAAATCAAGTGCACTTCAAACCTCTGTGTGTGTGTGTGTGGGTGTGTCCATGTGTGTGTGTGTGTGTGTGCGTGTCTGTGTGTGTGTCCGTGTGTGTGTGTGTGTCTGTGGGTCTGTGTGTGTGTGTGCGTGTGTGTGTGTCTGTGTGTGTGTGCGTCTGTGATTTGTGTGTGCGTGTCTGTGTGTGTGTGTGTGGGTCTGTGTGTGTGTGTGTGTGTCTGTGTGTGTGTGTGTGTGCGTCTATGATCTGTGTGTGCGTGTCTGTGTGTGTGTGTGTGGGTCTGTGTGTCTGTGTGTGTGTGTGTGTGTGGGTCTGTGTGTGTGTATGTGTGGGCCTGTGTGTCTGTGTGTGTGTCTGTGTGTCCCAAATGTAAAATCACTGTATATTAAGAATAGTTGAATGATAAATGTATCCTAAGTGTCTGTGGTTGTAGTGATTTCAGAAGTCATTGATCATGAAGCGATTAGCAGCAAAGCTAATCACGGTTTGCTCTAACAAACTGTTACTTACACCGAGGTCTTCAACCTTTTCTCCTTATTCTGTAAATCAGATTTATTCTTGTACCGCCTTAAATCACAACAGTAGTTTGTCAGAGCAGAGCAGAGCAGAGTGGGGCTGGTGGAAACAGGGCTTGTCTCTCCTCATGTGCCAAAATGCCTGTCTCCGTGCCCTGACACACGTTACTCATCAAAGAGCCGCCATGATAAACAGTAATAGCTTTGATAAGTCTTTGTCGTTGTGCTTAGACGTGTTTGACTGAAGCCGCCGTGGACCAGAGATCACGTCAGATTCACCGCCTGATAACCACGCCTCTCTCTTTCTTCTCGGTATAATTTAGCATCTGCTTCCCACAAAGAAGAACTACCATGAACGTAAATGGTGGTGATCTGACTGAACCTGTGCTCAGTTTGGGAGGAGGTGAAGAGGAGCAGAAGTTTGGTTTAAAGACACAGACTTTTTCCACCACAAACCACTTTAACCACAATAAAACCTGAAGAACAGACACACAGAGGTTTGGCTCCGGAGCTGGACCTGTTTCTGTTTTTAGTTTATTGTAACGTTTGCTCTGACTCTTTGGACAAAAACTTCTGCAACATTTGGTACAGCGTCAGACCATCGTCCCTGACTCTGTACCTTTGCTCTTTGAAGATGAACCAAAGGTACAGCGTCAGACCATCAACTCTGTACCTTTGCTCTTGAATCGTCCCTGTATCCGTCATATGCTAATGAGAGACTGTACCGAGGGTAATTAAACCTCAGAGGTCGTCTCTTTCAGCGACTGAATCAAAATCAGATCAATAACAGTCGTCTCAAAGTATAAAAAATGGTCTTTCCTTGAACAAAAGGGTCAATATTTAAATCATAAAATATGTTCCACAGAAAGTTCAGTAAATATAGATTTATGAGAACGACGTGAGGCTGTGGTTTTCTCTTTTCCATTTAGACTCCTCTGTATTTACACCTCTGCTGCCCCCTACAGGCCGTCTGTATTTACACCAGGCCTCTGCTGCTCCCTACAGGCCGTCTGTATTTACACCAGGCCTCTGCTGCTCCCTACAGGCCGTCTGTATTTACACCAGGCCTCTGCTGCTCCCTACAGGCCGTCTGTATTTACACCAGGCCTCTGCTGCTCCCTACAGGCCGTCTGTATTTACACCAGGCCTCTGCTGCTCCCTACAGGCCGTCTGTATTTACACCAGGCCTCTGCTGCTCCCTACAGGCCGTCTGTATTTACACCAGGCCTCTGCTGCTCCCTACAGGCCGTCTGTATTTACACCAGGCCTCTGCTGCTCCCTACAGGCCGTCTGTATTTACACCAGGCCTCTGCTGCTCCCTACAGGCCGTCTGTATTTACACCAGGCCTCTGCTGCTCCCTACAGGCCGGCTGTATTTACACCAGGCCTCTGCTGCTCCCTACAGGCCGGCTGTATTTACACCAGGCCTCTGCTGCTCCCTACAGGCCGGCTGTATTTACACCAGGCCTCTGCTGCTCCCTACAGGCCGTCTGTATTTACACCAGGCCTCTGCTGCTCCCTACAGGCCGGCTGTGTTATAGAGGCGGCTCTGTAAGCTGCTTCAGTCATCCCTATCTGAGTGCACTTCCAGCAAAGCCTTTACAGCAGCAGACCGGACCCCCACGACCCCCCCTCCCTCTGTTACACTGTACTGAGAAAAGCCTAATCCATCTTTTTACAGCTGATACTGATGCAGAGCCTGAAGGGTTTGGCTCTGAGCTCTCTCTTCTTCTTCACTGCAAAAAGTATTGAAAAATCAGACAAATTTGGTGACATTTATTTTAATCTGAGCACATTCTGACTGAGCCACAATGTTCCCAAAAACACTTATTTGTATCACGTCATATTTTACCATTTTTTGTTTGTCCTCCCCCAGGCTTCCAACCCCCTTGTCTTGCTCTGTGTTTGTGTAGGGCACATATCTCCTCAGAGGTATGATGTGAGCGTGCAGTTGGTGTGCAGTTAGCGTGCAGTTAGCGTACAGCACATGTGTCAAAGTCAATTTTACATGGCCCGTTGCCTGCCATTGACGCACTATTACGTCAATTGCGTTTTCCGCTATTTTCATGTTCCCAGATGTCTATTATATCTAATATGTTTGGAGATAAGCTTGAGAGCATATTGAATTGAGCCAGCAGGTGGCAGCAGCGCTCTCTGAATGGTTTGAAAACAGCTAGATGCACTTGTTGTGCCTCTTTTTTCTCAGCTTTTTGGTGATTTCAGTAAAACTTTCCTCTACTCAACTGGGGATTACAAGCTAGAAACAAAATTCTTTTTGCTGATGAAAGTAGACAGTCTATTCTTTCAGAATCTGGTTTCAGATTTCAGATAGTCATAGTACACAATATTCTGTGGGTCTTGAAAAATCTATAAAAATCATCAGAAACTGCTGGCAAGTGTGCAGTTAGCGTGCAGTTAGTTCAGAATTAGGGACGTACAGATGTCGGTGGCCAACGCCGCAGTCATGTCCCGAGTTAGAGCTGCTTCAGGTCTTTACTTTGACCTTTAGAGAGGGTTAGACATGCAGACTGTGCTCCTCAGAGTCCCAGCAGGAGGCCAGTCCCTGTGCTCCTCAGAGTCCCAGCAGGAGTCCAGTCCCTGTGCTCCTCAGAGTCCCAGCAGGAGGCCAGTCCCTGTGCTCCTCAGAGTCCCAGCAGGAGGCCAGTCCCTGTGCTCCTCAGAGTCCCAGCAGGAGGCCAGTCCCTGTGCTCCTCAGAGTCCCAGCAGGAGTCCAGTCCCTGTGCTCCTCAGTCCCAGCAGGAGTCCAGTCCCTGTGCTCCTCAGAGTCCCAGCAGGAGTCCAGTCCCTGTGCTCCTCAGAGTCCCAGCAGGAGGCCAGTCCCTGTGCTCCTCAGAGTCCCAGGAGGAGGCCAGTCCCTGTGCTCCTCAGAGTCCCAGCAGGAGGCCAGTCCCTGTGCTCCTCAGAGTCCCAGCAGGAGGCCAGTCCCTGTGCTCCTCAGAGTCCCAGCAGGAGGCCAGTCCCTGTGCTCCTCAGAGTCCCAGCAGGAGGCCAGTCCCTGTGCTCCTATCTCTGTTTAAAGACGTTGGCAGAACGTAGCCGTGTGCTATATTGGTATGTGTAACCGTAGCACCTGGACACATTTAACTGATTTAACTGCCGTCACTAATGTGGACGATACTCACTGAACCAACTGCAGGTTATTTATGAACTCTTTCCCATGGGGTCGACTCCCGAGGGGTCGAGTTCCTGTGGAGTCTGATCAGAGAAAACATATGTAGACGTAGCCTGGTCTTACCGCACCATAGTACAAATTTCATTTTATACTTATGCCTGGATTGTCTCCATTGACTCCGTGAACAGGTGGGAGGGGCTAACTCCTTTTGCAGATTGAAACGATTGGATCTGAGTTTACCGTGACGTATGTAATGAGCCCGAATGAGTCGTTAGCATTTAGCATTTAGCCTAGCTTTAGCATTTAGCCTAGTTTTAGCAATCTCCTTTACTACTCACGGAGCCCGTGGGGAGTAGAACCACAACATCTTTGCTTCAAGGACATTTACTAAACATTCCTCTTGCTCCGGCTTCAGTTTCTTGATAGAACACATGGTTAAACTGACACATGGTTAAACGGTCACATGGTTAAACGGTCACATGGTTAAACGGTCACATGGTTAAACGGTCACATGGTTAAACGGTCACATGGTTAAACGGTCACATGGTTAAACGGTCACATGGTTAAACTGACACATGGTTAAACGGTCACATGGTTAAACAGTCACATGGTTAAACGGTCACATGGTTAAACGGTCACATGGTTAAACTGACACATGGTTAAACGGTCACATGGTTAAACGGTCACATGGTTAAACGGTCACATGGTTAAACTGACACATGGTTAAACGGTCACATGGTTAAACGGTCACATGGTTAAACTGACACATGGTTAAACAGTCACATGGTTAAACGGTCACATGGTTAAACAGTCACATGGTTAAACAGTCACATGGTTAAACGGTCACATGGTTAAACAGTCACATGGTTAAACAGTCACATGGTTAAACTGACACATGGTTAAACGGTCACATGGTTAAACGGTCACATGGTTAAACTGACACATGGTTAAACAGTCACATGGTTAAACAGTCACATGGTTAAACGGTCACATGGTTAAACTGACACATGGTTATACAGTCACATGGTTAAACAGTCACATGGTTAAACAGTCACATGGTAAAACAGTCACATGGTAAAACGGTCACATGGTTAAACAGTCACATGGTTAAACTGATACATGGTTAAACTGTCACATGGTTAAACTGACACATGGTTAAACAGTCACATGGTTAAACAGTCACATGGTTAAACAGTCACATGGTTAAACAGTCACATGGTTAAACAGTCACATGGTTAAACAGTCACATGGTTAAACAGTCACATGGTTAAACAGTCACATGGTTAAACGGTCACATGGTTAAACAGTGTCATGGCCAGATTCCCGGCACAAGATATTCTAATCATTTAGGTCGATACATGCGTCTTGTTTCCCAGCGTCTGAAACCCGCTTCCCATCACTGTTTGAAACATTAAGACAAAGGCTGCTTGTCCACGGTTCTCTTTCCCATAACCTTGGCCACCACCTGCATGGGCCTATCTCAAATGTTCTTACAGCGTGTTCCTTCTTATCAATTCGAAGGTCCTTTTCTGCGCTTAATGTATCTCTCCCAAACTTTCCCGTCTGCAGCTGCGTATGACTCATCTCTCTTGTGACGATTGTCCATTGTTCTGTCTGACACACCTCCAGTATAAGATCATAAGACACGCTTGTTGGGGAAACAGACAGACACGGCATCGCTCCAGGTCCCGCTTCTGTTTGACTCCTTTCTGCGCAGAAATGTCATTTTTGTACTCATCACTTCTGTGAATAAACTGCACCAAAGGACAAGTTTGTTTCCTCTCGGTTTCATTCATTTGAGGCAATAGAATTTCCATAACAACAGTCACATGGTTAAACTGACACATGGTTAAACAGTCACATGGTTAAACAGTCACATGGTTAAACTGACACATGGTTAAACAGTCACATGGTTAAACAGTCACATGGTTAAACAGTCACATGGTTAAACAGTCACATGGTTAAACAGTCACATGGTTAAACTGACACATGGTTAAACAGTCACATGGTTAAACAGTCACATGGTTAAACTGACACATGGTTAAACAGTCACATGGTTAAACAGTCACATGGTTAAACAGTCACATGGGTAAACGGTCACATGGTTAAATTGACACATGGTTAAACAGTCACATGGTTAAACGGTCACATGGTTAAATTGACACATGGTTAAACAGTCACATGGTTAAACTGACACATGGTTAAACAGTCACATGGTTAAACAGTCACATGGTTAAACGGTCACATGGTTAAACTGACACATGGTTAAACAGTCACATGGTTAAACTGACACATGGTTAAACAGTCACATGGTTAAACAGTCACATGGTTAAACAGTCACATGGTTAAACAGTCACATGGTTAAACAGTCACATGGTTAAACGGTCACATGGTTAAATTGACACATGGTTAAACAGTCACATGGTTAAACGGTCACATGGTTAAACAGTCACATGGTTAAACAGTCACATGGTTAAACGGTCACATGGTTAAACGGTCACATGGTTAAACAGTCACATGGTTAAACTGACACATGGTTAAACAGTCACATGGTTAAACAGTCACATGGTTAAACGGTCACATGGTTAAACAGTCACATGGTTAAACAGTCACATGGTTAAACAGTCACATGGTTAAACAGTCACATGGTTAAACAGTCACATGGTTAAACAGTCACATGGTTAAACAGTCACATGGTTAAACAGTCACATGGTTAAACTGACACATGGTTAAACAGTCACATGGTTAAACAGTCACATGGTTAAACTGACACATGGTTAAACAGTCACATGGTTAAACAGTCACATGGTTAAACAGTCACATGGTTAAACAGTCACATGGGTAAACGGTCACATGGTTAAATTGACACATGGTTAAACAGTCACATGGTTAAACGGTCACATGGTTAAATTGACACATGGTTAAACAGTCACATGGTTAAACTGACACATGGTTAAACAGTCACATGGTTAAACAGTCACATGGTTAAACGGTCACATGGTTAAACTGACACATGGTTAAACAGTCACATGGTTAAACTGACACATGGTTAAACAGTCACATGGTTAAACAGTCACATGGTTAAACAGTCACATGGTTAAACAGTCACATGGTTAAACAGTCACATGGTTAAACAGTCACATGGTTAAACGGTCACATGGTTAAATTGACACATGGTTAAACAGTCACATGGTTAAACGGTCACATGGTTAAACAGTCACATGGTTAAACAGTCACATGGTTAAACGGTCACATGGTTAAACGGTCACATGGTTAAACAGTCACATGGTTAAACTGACACATGGTTAAACAGTCACATGGTTAAACAGTCACATGGTTAAACGGTCACATGGTTAAACAGTCACATGGTTAAACAGTCACATGGTTAAACAGTCACATGGTTAAACAGTCACATGGTTAAACAGTCACATGGTTAAACGGTCACATGGTTAAACGGTCACATGGCTAAACGGTCACATGGTTAAACGGTCACATGGCTAAACAGTCACATGGTTAAACAGTCACATGGTTAAACGGTCACATGGTTAAACTGACACATGGTTAAACAGTCACATGGTTAAACAGTCACATGGTTAAACAGTCACATGGTTAAACGGTCACATGGTTAAACGGTCACATGGTTAAACGGTCACATGGTTAAACAGTCACATGGTTAAACAGTCACATGGTTAAACAGTCACATGGTTAAACAGTCACATGGCTAAACAGTCACATGGTTAAACAGTCACATGGTTAAACGGTCACATGGTTAAACTGACACATGGTTAAACAGTCACATGGTTAAACAGTCACATGGTTAAACAGTCACATGGTTAAACGGTCACATGGTTAAACGGTCACATGGTTAAACGGTCACATGGTTAAACAGTCACATGGTTAAACAGTCACATGGTTAAACAGTCACATGGTTAAACAGTCACATGGCTAAACAGTCACATGGTTAAACAGTCACATGGTTAAACGGTCACATGGTTAAACGGTCACATGGTTAAACAGTCACATGGTTAAACAGTCACATGGTTAAACAGTCACATGGTTAAACAGTCACATGGTTAAACAGTCACATGGTTAAACAGTCACATGGTTAAACAGTCACATGGTTAAACAGTCACATGGTTAAACGGTCACATGGTTAGCTGACCCCCTGCTGTCGCTGCATTGGGACGTGACTGTGAGTTTGTTAATATTGTGGAGACATTAAAGCCGTGATGCAGCGCGGGCTCAGCAGGGGGCGCTCTGTTCATCTCGCTGAGAATAACATTCATGTCCCTGAGAAACTTCATCGTTCAATAGTTTATGTCCATGGTCCTTGAAGCTGTTCTCCCAAAGGCTGGAGTCTAAACACGGGAAGTCTCTGCTCCAATGACATGTTTAACTGTTTCCACCGTGAGGAAATGTCAGTGTTGCAGCGCACAGACAGGACAGTAGTGAGACACAGGGGAGCACACAACATACAGAATAATATACAGAATAAGTAGCTGCTGTGTTTCTGTTTCTCACATAACCTTACACTGTCCATGACGGACACATGTGTGTCCTTTTTTATCTCTTGTGTTAGAGACACAATCCAATATTTATTCCAAGACTTATAATTCATGTTTACACCGAACCTCTTGGCGTCCTGCTGTAGCCCTTGGAATGGCGCTGGGTTCGCCTCCCGCTGTAGCCCTTGGAATGGTGTTGGGTTCGCTTCCCGCTGTAGCCCTTGGAATGGCGTTGGGTTCGCTTCCTGCTGTAGCCCTTGGAATGGTGTTGGGTTCGCTTCCCGCTGTAGCCCTTGGAATGGCGTTGGGTTTGCTTCCTGCTGTAGCCCTTGGAATGGTGTTGGGTTCGCTTCCCGCTGTAGCCCTTGGAATGGCGTTGGGTTCGCTTTTGTTTTTTTCGAGGCCAGAATCTGTGAAGTCCTGAAAGACGTCTTTTGGGAGCATTAAATTCAACATGTATCGTTGCATTTCTCACCTTCTGAATGGTTTGGCGTTAGCATGAATGAGTGAATAAGTGAACGTGTGAACGCTGTAGTTTTAAATCAATCCTTGTGTTTCCAGTTATAAGTTCTTGTGGCATCTGAGCCAGACCAGACCACTCTGTGATATATATCTCCACAATTACTACTGCAGCATGAATTATTCATGTGCTCACCGTCGCTGGAGGTAACCGCTGTTTCCTTCGCCACAGTTTTTGCCAAATCACTTCATGATTATAACTGGTTCTGCTGCAGCCTTTTCACACCGTGGTTAAGCCTCATTATTGTGGCAGCTTTGCTGAAGCCCTGAAGTAAATCATTTCCAATGGAATATGTTTTTACTCCTGTCATTGGAGCAGGAGGTTCTCTGCTCGCCTCCCTCTGACCGTCTCTTTTTATTACTCTTTAACGATGGAATAATGTGTTTCGTAAAAGTATGTTTGTACAGTGTCATAAAGATGGAGGAAGAAGCCGATGGAATCTGGCAACAGCCTCATGCATAATAAAGAGTCGTCCCAGATGAGTTTAGCGCCTCGTACTCTTCGCTGTCTTCAAAGTCGTCCAGATCTCTCTCCAAATATTTAATAAGGAATTTGCTTTTAGACAAATCAGAAAGGAATCCCTCTTTAGCTGCTACAGTCCTGTCCCGGGTGAAAGACCGAGAAACTTACCACAGACCTGGGGCTAAACAACTATCTTTAAACACTTTAAACCACCAGGACTCACCATTGAAGAAGGATTAGTGTATAATATATAATATATAATATATGAAATATGATATATAATATATCATTGCTAATGGAACACTGTGCACTTGAATATTCATGTAGCTCTGTTTAGTAAAGTATTGATAAAGACAGACGTTAACAAACAAAACAAGAAACTTGCTGAAGGTTCTTTGTAAAAATGTGTTATTTTTATGTTATTAATTACTCAGTACAAACAGGGAATTCCAATTATAGGTTTAGAGAAATAAGTGGGACTTTAAGGGAGAACTAATTGCGTTTCAAAATAATATGTTTTATTTTTGAGATGTACATTAATCATGGATCCAGGACAAAAACCTGTCAAATCGACTGCTGCTGAGTTCTACTGTTAAAGCAGGTTCTGTTAAAGCAGGTTCTGTTAAAGCAGGTTCTGTTAAAGCAGGTTCTGTTAAAGCAGGTTCTGTTAAAGCAGGTTCTGATAAAGCAGGTTCTGTTCTGGGAAACGTCTCTCGTCGCATGAGTAATGAACTTGTTTCTTTTGTAACTTCTCAGATTCTAATGAATGTTGACACACACACACACACACACACACACACACACACACACACACACACACACACACACAGTAACACTGATGCCTGAGGTCTGAATATCACTGTGTATTATTATAAGCAAAGGAAGGTTTCTCACCCGTCATCTGTACTTCTTAGCAAAGGACTTCTTCAGGGAATGAATTCTCAGACCGCACGTTGGAGATTTATAACCTATGGGTGTGGTTAGCCACACCCTAACAAAATCTTAACCTCACAAATCTTAACCCTCCTCAACCTTCTCTCAACAGAGGAGGAGGGTTAAGATTTGTTTTGCCTCGCATCTATGACGACATCCTAAAAACAACGCCCTAACTTGGGACAAGGTCAGTGTAGTCCCTTCTACATCAGACCTTAGATTGTTTATGAGTTAGTATCAGGATTAGGGTGTGGCTAACCACACCCATAGGTTATAAATCTCCAACGCGCGGTCTGAGAATTCATTCCCTGAAGAAGTCCGCTGGATTGAGGACGAAACGTCGGGAAAACTTGCTAAGAAGTACAGATGATGGTGCGAAACCTGCCTTTGCTTTGACTAATCCCTGTACGACTGAGGGCTTACACAAACTGTGTATTATTATGCATTTATTTATATATAACAGGTTCCAGAAACTGATGTATATTTGTTTAAAAATATAATTATCGATGAAGCATCATGACAGATATTATGTTCTGGTCTTAGTTCTGCTGCTTCCACTGCTGCCTTTTTGCAGCTGAGACTTTCGCCTTCAGCACCTTCTGGACTCGAGTGGAAAATGGAAGAAAACAATCTTCTCCAGAAACTTCCCTCCTAGAGCTGAGGTCACAGTCGATGCTGACGATGACTCCTTTAAAGACACATAGAGCTGAGACCAGCTGCTTTTATGGACAGTCTCATGTACTTGTACTTGTAGCAACACTACATATGATGTGGTTTAGGGCCACAAAAAAATAAACTGAATGGAATTGAATTTAAAAAAGTGAGGTCCTTTTAGTGCAAGGCAAGGCGGCAGACACACAATCAGCCAAAACACCACAAAAAAGACTTGGTTGTGAGTGTTATTGTTGAACCCAGAGTGAAACATCCGCGCGGCTCTGTGTACTTCCCCTGTTATCTCCAGCCCTTTGAAACTGCACCTGTTTGTGCCTCGCCGCTCGAGGCTGATGTCGGTGCCAGCTCTTCCCGACTCACATTCATGTGGAGTCGGCCATGTCTCTTTCTCACAGGCTTAATGACTCCATGGAACGGCATTAGGGAACAGCAGGCCGGAGCGGCGGCGATAGGGAACGCCGGACTGGAGCGGCGGCGATAGGGAACGCCGGACTGGAGCGGCGGCGATAGGGAACGCCGGACTGGAGCGGCGGCGATAGGGAACGCCGGACTGGAGCGGCGGCAATAGGGAACGCCGGACTGGAGCGGCGGCAATAGGGAACGCCGGACCGGAGCAACGACGATTGGGAACGCCAGACCAGAGCGGCGGCGATATTGAACGCCGTACGGGAGCGTCTCGAGCCGCTGTGGCCCTCTGTGCACCTCTGGAATAATGTTTGGTGATGTCGCTCCCGGAGTTCTTCTTTTCCCGACGACAGACGACGTGTTATGGTCGTGTTTTGTCTCTCGGCTGATCCAATGTTAATAACCTCCTTCGTGGAAGCACTCACAGAATACCCAAGATGCAACATGTTCTGAGCAGCGGCATTCATGATACATTTAATACTAACACTGACTTCAGGAGCGCGCTGGAAACTTAATGTTTACTGTAATGTCCTTGTTTTAAACATGGTCAGGGGCCGAGCTGTCTCACAACCTCAGGAAGACTGCTCCATATTTATATTCATTTATGTAAATCACAGCAGTAGTTATCTCGAAGGACACACGAAAGATAAAACACAGAGACCAGTGTCCATAGATGTTGGTAAAGCCCATTTAAATACATGAACATATGACTAAACTCTGAGATGGGACTCTTCTGTGGTTGTTCTGAGGTAAAGCTTCCCATTCCTCCTGTTCCTGTACAAGTCCACCCAAAATTTAAATTGAATGGAATTGAATTTAAAGAGTGAGGTCCTTTTAGTGAAAGGCAGGGCTGCAGACACACAATCAGCCAAAACACAACACATAAGATAAACTTTAGCTGCACAGACACATCCTGAGTCCGTGATGTTTGCACCAAAACAAACTCCGGCTCAGTTCTGGACATCCGTCAAAGTAGTTCCAGGTATAAATCTTGAGCAGCCGTCAGTGTCGCGCTCGCTGCTGTGAGCCGGAGATAGCGATTAAAACAACCTGTCTTTACTGCTGCCATTTTGGACACATCTGCGGCTTTTTGTTTTTTTCACACAGAGACTATTTCGGTGCAGATTGCAGCCGTTGTTTATTCTTCTCTGGGAGGTCGTCAATAACAATGAGGGAAGTGTCAGAGGCTGATTAGTCTTCGGTTTGGGAGAGTGCAGGAGACACATTCTTACACTGTGGTTGTGTTTGGTTGGTTGTGTTTGTTTTCTCATAAAACAATATTCTAGTCACACATCTGAATCTTTCCACTGTTTAAAAATATAAAACAGAAATATAAAACAAAAGACAATGTTTAAAATGTCTTTGCAACTAGAAAAACGGGGACAGAATTAGTTTTGTGCCTCTTGCTCCTGTTACAGTATATATATGTGTATGTAATGTGTTGAATTCTTCTGTTGCCATGTGAATAACGAGAGGTCACAAACAAGTCAAATAAAGAGTAGAATGAGGCATAAATAAAACATGGACAAATACATAAATAGTTACATTAAAAATCATCCTTCACTCCTCTGCATTTGACCCATGCTTTCATCCTACCGGGCGTCTGTCGGAGCAGGGTCAGGGTTGCTCCGGGTTTGACAGTGGTCGGAGAAATTAGCAAAAAATTAGCAAAAAATTCAGATTCAGAGAATTTTTCTAGAGCTTAGTGACACAGACACAGGTCAGACACCTACAAACAGAGGAAGAAAATATGAATCTATCATTGTTTTTCTAGAATTGCAGCAGTGGTTCTTCTGTGACAAACTGTAAATACTGAAGATGGATTTGCTCCGATTGACTTCAAAGTAAACTCCTCTCGCTCAGAAACTGTGCCACATTTTGGGATTAAGAAATATGAGATTTAGGCCTTTCTGTGATCCCAGAGTCTATATATTTGGATATTGTCTTAGTATGGAGGGATGGATGGAGAGATGGAGGGATGGATGGATGGAGAGATGGAGGGATGGATGGAGAGATGGAGGGATGGATGGAGAGATGGATGGATAGATGGAGGGAGAGATGGAGGGATGGATGGATGGGGAGATGGAGGGATGGATGGAGAGATGGAGGGATGGATGGAGGGATAGATGGAGGGAGAGATGGAGGGATAGATGGAGGGATGGATGGAGAGATGGATGGATGGATGGACAGATGAACGGATGGAGGGAGGGAGGTAGGGATGGACGGACGGACGGACGGATGAACGGACGGATGGATGGATAGATGAACGGACGGAGGGATAGATGGATGGATGGATAGATGAACGGATGGATGGATAGATGAACGGATGGATGGAGAGATGGATGGATGGATGGATGGAGGGAGGGAGGGATGGATGGATGGATGAACGGATGGAGGGATGGATCGATAGATGGATGAACGGATGGAGGGATGGAGGGATAGATGGATGGAGGGATGGATAGATGAACGGATGGAAGGATGGGGGGATGGATAGATGGATGGATGGATGGAGGGATGGATGGAGGGATGGAGGGATGGGGGGATGGATAGATGGATGGATGGAGGGAGGGAGGGATGGAGGGAGGGATGGAGGGATGGAGGGATGGAGGGATGGAGGGATGGATGGAGGGATGGAGGGATGGATGAACGGATGGATGGATGGATGGATAGATGAACGGATGGATGGATGGATAGATGAACGGATGGATGGATGGCAAAGCTAAAGCCACCAGAACAAATGCCCATATAAGGAAATCGGCTTCTTCTGGATTTGTCAGCTCTGGTTCATTCCAAACCCACGGTGACACTTGGGACAAAAACTATTATTATTATTATTAATCTTTATTAAGGACACAATGCAGCACGGTCCATAGTTAAAAAGAAAATATCCAATACACACAGTATATTGAAAAATAAATATATACAGGAAAACAAAACCAACAAACCCATACTTTATTTTTCTAATGTTTTAAATAGTATGTGAAAGAGCAACATCAAATGTGTGAGAATTCTGTCCTGGGTTTTCTGATTCTAGGATTAGTGCAGTTTTTGTGGGATTATTAGTGTGTTCACATTCTGGCGGCTTTTGCTTGAATTACGAGCAACTTCTGCGAAGAGACGAGAAATGAGCCACAAACCGTGAGAGTCACGAAGCGGCTGAAGCTGATTTAACTGTGATTATCCTTCATCTCAGATATTCCCCGTTTACTCTTTTCCCTGAAGAAAAGAACAGTTTTAACAAGACAAATTGGACACAACAAATGATGTGAAAAAGTCTCTTCTTCCAGTAACAGATTTTGTCAGTTCTGAGTTTTAAAATGGGGTGTGGTATTATGGTCATATCAATTCCCGTCGCAGCTTCATTAGCGTCATATTTAGACTTTTGTGACACAATCAAAAACAAATGTCATTATCAATAAACTCTGTGGACGACTGGATTCCAACAGTTCCGAGGTTTACAACGAGGTACTGCAGGACTATACTGTTTGAGCTGAATTTGGCTAGATGATGCTGTGAGAGTGCCACAATGGCTACTTTGTGTTGTGCAGAGGGCCACATGCAATGACTCTGAGGGCCGCATTTGGCCCGCGGGCCTCACTCTGGACCCCCCTGCCCCCTGTGTAGGTTCAGAAAGTTTGTGGGAATGAAGATGATCCGGGCAGAGGCTACATCCAAATAAATACAACTCTTTTTCCTTTCGTCTGGTTTCTACTGACCTTAGAAACATTAAATTTTACCAAAGTGGTATCAGCAATATTTAAATAATATTATAATGAAATGGACCACAAATGTCCCTGTATCGACAAGGAAGCTTTAAGAAGGAAGCTTTAAGAAGGAAGCTTTAAGAAGGAAGCTTTAAGAAGGAAGCTTTAAGAAGGAAGCTTTAGGAAGGAAGCTTTAAGAAGGAAGCTTTAGGAAGGAGGTCACTTTGTTGAATTTGGATGCAGCCCACAGCCGTACAGCGTCCTACAGTGTGAATGTGAACTCTGACATCAACTCTGACAATGATGTAACTTTAGCACCGAAGAAGAAGAGTTAGATTTCATGTCTACATTGGTATGAAAAAGTTTGGACACCCTTGACACTCTGTATGATTGTCTTCATTAATCATGAGTTGAATCTCAGTTAAATAATTCCAAAAGGAGACAAAGCAGTGCATTTCTTCTTTGCTACACCCTGGATATGTCTCTGTCTTATGATTCCAGATCTGAGCGGTGAAGGCTAGTTCATGATCATTCATAATAGATCAGAAAATGGGCGGCACGGTGGCTGAGTGGATAGTACTCTCGCCTCTCAGCAAGAAGGTCCTGGGTTCGATTCCCGGCCGGACCAGGGCCTTTCTGAGTGGAGTTTGCATGTTCTCCCCGTGTCTGCGTAGGTTTCCTCCGGGTACTCCGGTTTCCCCTACCACTCAAAATATGTACAATAGTTCTGGCATGCGCCTCCTGTACTGGCCCCGCTCCCATCTCTGTGTGGAGTGAGAGACAAATGCCCAAAAAAATAACAATTGTAAACCGCTTTGTGACTCTGGTCTGTGAAAGGCGGTATATAAATAAAGCTTACTTACTTACTTACTTAAAAAAGGAAAATGATGGTCACCATTAACAAGGAGGTGGTCTTATTGAGTCTGCTTGATCTTCGTAAATGTACTATTCTTTTAAATCCACTGTAAGAATCAGTGCAGCAGGTGAGATGTTTCTGAATGAGCAGACCACACACTCCATGGACCTTTTCATTATTTATGACTGTATTTAGCAATTAACATTAAACCACATGACATCTGTGCGTTCTCTGCAGACCCTTCATCAGCGTGACTCTCAGGTCAAGATGGAAATGAAAAGAAATGTCCCATTTTGTAGAGCCCACAGTCCATATGTAGTCCTACTGTCCTACTGTAGTATAATGTATCATTCTCATGTGCACAAATGTAGTCCTACTGTAGTATAATGTATCATTCTCATGTGCACAGATGTAGTCCTACTGTAGTATAATGTATCATTCTCATGTGCACAGATGTAGTCCTACTGTAGTATAATGTATCATTCTCATGTGCACAGATGTAGTCCTACTGTAGTATAATGTATCATTCCCATGTGCACAGATGTAGTCCTACTGTAGTATAATGTATCATTCTCATGTGCACAGATGTAGTCCTACTGTAGTATAATGTATCATTCTCATGTGCACAGATGTAGTCCTACTGTAGTATAATGTATCATTCTCATGTGCACAGATGTAGTCCTACTGTAGTATAATGTATCATTCCCATGTGCACAGATGTAGTCCTACTGTAGTATAATGTATCATTCTCATGTGTACAGATGTAGTTCTACTGTAGTATAATGTATCATTCCCATGTGCACAGATGTAGTCCTACTGTAGTATAATGTATCATTCCCATGTGTACAGATGTAGTCCTACTGTAGTATAATGTATCATTCTCATGTGTACAGATGTAGTCCTACTGTAGTATAATGTATCATTCTCATGTGTACAGATGTAGTCCTACCGTAGCATAATGTATCATTCTCATGTGCACAGATGTAGTCCTACTGTAGTATAATGTATCATTCTCATGTGCACAGATGTAGTCCTACTGTAGTATAATGTATCATTCTCATGTGCACAGATGTAGTCCTACTGTAGTATAATGTATCATTCCCATGTGCACAGATGTAGTCCTACTGTAGTATAATGTATCATTCCCATGTGCACAGATGTAGTCCTACTGTAGTATAATGTATCATTCCCATGTGCACAGATGTAGTCCTACTGTAGTATAATGCATCATTCTCATGTGCACAGATGTAGTCCTACTGTAGTATAATGTATCATTAGTTTGAGGATGTCTCTGAATATTTGACATTTTGGAAACATACATATACACATGTACATATGTATATTTGTACCAGTGCTGAGACCTGAGCTCTGTGGGGTCCACTGTGGGGGGTCCACTGTGGGGGGTCCACTGTGGGGGGTGCCCTGTGGGGGGTGCACTGAGGGGGTCCACTGTGGGGGGTGCCCTGTGGGGGTCCACTGTGGGGGGTCCACTGTGGGGGGTCCACTGTGGGGGGTGCCCTGTGGGGGGTGCACTGAGGGGGTCCACTGTGGGGGGTGCCTTGTGGGGGTCCACTGTGGGGGGTCCACTGTGGGGGGTGCACTGTGGGGGGTGCACTGAGGGGGTGCACTGAGGGGGTCCACTGTGGGGGGTCCACTGTGGGGGGTGCACTGTGGGGGGTGCCCTGTGGGGGTCCACTGTGGGGGGTCCACTGTGGGGGATGCACTGAGGGGGTCCACTGTGGGGGGTCCACTGTGGGGGGTGCACTGAGGGGGTCCACTGTGGGGGGTGCACTGAGGGGGTGCCCTGTGGGGGTCCACTGAGGGGGTCCACTGTGGGGGGTCCACTGTGGGGGTCCACTGTGGGGGGTCCACTGTGGGGGGTCCACTGTGGGGGTCCACTGTGGGGGTCCACTGTGGGGGGTCCACTGTGGGGGGTCCACTGTGGGGGGTGCACTGAGGGGGTGCACTGAGGGGGTCCACTGTGGGGGGTGCCCTGTGGGGGTCCACTGTGGGGGGTGCCCTGTGGGGGGTGCACTGTGGGGGTCCACTGTGGGGGGTGCACTGTGGGGGGTGCACTGTGGGGGGTGCACTGAGGGGGTCCACTGTGGGGGGTGCACTGAGGGGGTGCCCTGTGGGGGTCCACTGAGGGGGTCCACTGTGGGGGTCCACTGTGGGGGTCCACTGTGGGGGGTCCACTGTGGGGGGTCCACTGTGGGGGTCCACTGTGGGGGTCCACTGTGGGGGGTCCACTGTGGGGGGTCCACTGTGGGGGGTGCACTGAGGGGGTGCACTGAGGGGGTCCACTGTGGGGGGTGCCCTGTGGGGGTCCACTGTGGGGGGTGCCCTGTGGGGGGTGCACTGTGGGGGTCCACTGTGGGGGGTGCACTGTGGGGGGTGCCCTGTGGGGGTCCACTAACTCCGATATTATCGTCGTCTGTCCATCAGCCTCCTGCTGCACTCTCACAACAAACATTTTAACGACAGAGAAAGATGGAGACAGATGTTGCTTCTTTTGATGCGAGAGTTTTGTTTTATATTCATTCATTTATTATGATAAAGTTATTGTGTGTTTATCTTGTGCTGTGTGTATCTCATTCCACTGCTCTGTAGCAATGCAACACTGACATTTCCCCGCAGTGGGACAAGTACAGGATAATCTTATTAACTGATTCTTAATAGAAAAATGACGATAATGTGGGAGCAGTTTTAGAAGTCTGTGTTTTTAATGATGAGGCCAAAGTCTGTTCACAGCAAAGGCAACGTTTCCCTTTGAAGGTAGAGCAGGTGCATTCTGGGTAAACTTTATGTGTGGAGGGAATAAATGGTTCTTTTTGAGCTGCGTAAAACTGGACTTTCTAAAAAAAAAAAAAAAAAGACTTACAGTAATCACTACTTAGTTTTAGAAAACATTCTAGTGATAATATCTCTGTGTGACTGTTTAATGAACTTATTTATCTGTGTTTCTGTCCTGGATTCTAATAACAACATGTTCCAACATCTTAAGTTTACCCATCGTCCAATTAGGACTGGGCGATAAAACGATACTGGCCTATGTCCTATGCCCTATGCCTATGCCCCATGTCCTATGTCCTATGTCCTATGCCCCATGTCCTATGTCCTGTGTCCTATGTCCTATGTCCTATGCCCTATACCCTATGTCCTATGCCCTATACCCTATGTCCTATGCCCTATGCCCTATGTCCTATGGCTTATGTCCTATGTCCTATGTCCTAGGTCCTGTGTCCTATCCTCCCCATCCAGGAGGAACCGTGATGTGATTGGATAGTCCATGAACCGTGTGGTCACATGTTGTTGTCATAATCGGTGTCTTGGGGCGACGTGAAGTCATATTAATATGTGAGATGCCTGTGTGTGTTTTCTAGGGGATTATTCTGCTTTAATCCCGCTCCCTGTGGCCTGACTCCAGACAAAGCCGTCTGTAATTAATCTAATCTATTTGCATTAAACTGTACCATGTTCTATGACTCTTAAGGATGTCTCTATGATCGAAGCTGAAATTTGGTGTTTTCTGTCGGATCATTCACCAATTGACCATCACAGTTCAGAGGAAAATCAGATATCAATTTCATTTCTTTTTCAGATATACATTTCCCTCTTCACGTGTTGTGTTGCTATGGTAACTAACACTGGATTATTCACTGGTGGAGAGCAGGGGTTTAGTTCCAACCTCCTCTCCTTCCAATAGAAAGAAAAGTGTGGAAAGGTTTTAGTTTCGGAGTGTTGCCGGGTCGCGGCTACGATGTTATATTAAATTATTATATGTTGAGTTAAAAAATGGATGGATGGATGTTATTTGTAAAAGTAAAAACCAAGAATCCCGGCTTCAAAATCCTTCTTGATTCAGCACAAATATATATCTTTCATCTCACACAAACTCTCTCTTGTCACTCGTCTTGAAGCTGCCTCAGAGACACATTATTATTCGTTACATTATTATCATGTTTGCAGAGTTTGCCGTGGTCCTGGATATTAGGGCATTTCCAGACCCCTCCCAGAGTCGTCCTCTGGGGCACCTGTCCGTCATGTGCTATCAGCCACGCTCCAGACTCGGCTGAAGAATCTCAGGCTCCTCCCACTTGACACTTTCTGTATGTCTGTGCCGGCCCAGCTCTTACCCACAATCCCCCTGTGTTCCTCCGCCTTATCGCACACGTCTGATAGTCCAGTCTTGTACTTGTCTAACCTCCTGTGTCTCCTGCAGGTGTAAAGAAGGATACCACGGACTGCGCTGCGACCAGTTCGTCCCCAAGACCGACGCCATCTTGTCCGATCCGAGTAAGTCCAGTTTGTTTCCTCCATCTTTTAGTTCGGTTTGGAGCAAAACTGAAATACATTTGTTTAGAAGAAAGAGTAAAGTCAGGGTTGACATATATACGCTGCAAAAAAGTGATGAAAAATAACTCATAAATAGCTCGAATTTGGAAAATGTGTCTAAATCAAGACATAAAATAACCTTGTATTAAAAGCAGGTAATGTTTATTTATATAGCAGGTGTGGGCACACCCGGAGGAAACCTACACAGACACAGGAGGACACAGTCAGAATGAACTCAGATTTAGATAAAAACACTCAATTCAAGCATTTTTACCTCAAGACCAATGCTCTCCAAACTGAGCCCCCGTCACCCCCAAAACAGACAAAATAATACTCTGGATATCTTCATTTTCACTTACCTCCCATCAGTATTTATCAGTATTTAATTGTATTTATCAGTATTTATCAATATTTATTTGATTTATCAGTATTATTTTTTTATCAGTATTTATGAGGACATTATGTTCTTTGTTGCCTTAAAAAAACAATAAAGAATTGTTCTTTAAAAATGGCCAAAAACGTATTAACTATGAAGAGAATCTCTGGGTTAAAGGAGAACACAGTAATTAAAGGGAGCAGCAGTAAAATACTTTTATCAAACCCAGATAAATCAGGCTGGAGTCGACCTTGAAGCTAATGATGGAAATGTTTCCAATCGACAAACTTTGGATAAATGTAGGAATAAAATGTTGGAGAAATGAGCAGTAAAGCTGAGGTAAAGCTTTACCTCTGACTCTAAGTTAATGTTGCACAAAGCTCCTCCAGCGACACATTCATTAAAGAGCAGCGGATTATAATTTAGTCATGAACAAATATTAGATCAATGACACAAAGTGCAGCGCATGAATATAGCATGAAGATCTCTGGGTTAGGCTAACCCTTTAATCTGGAGCTTCTCCTGCAGCAGATTACAAAGGTTCCGTTTCCTCTGTGTTTGTGCGCGTCCAAATCCCACGACGGTTCAATGCCGGAGTTTAAACTAAAATCTAAGGTATAATAATGCTGAAGAGGACGGAGCCCGCAGCTTTTCCCTCGAGAACCACATCTTTTACAAATTCACTTCTTCTCTTCTCCCGGTGACGTCTGCAGCGAGAGCTGGGCCCAAACTTCACGGTGTTGACTCAATCTTATCCATAAAATAATGGGGTCACGGAGCGAGGCCGAGCGTTTAATCTGGAAACAGATGTTAAAGATAGGACTCTGAGGAGCACAGGGACTGGCCTCCTGCTGGGACTCTGAGGAGCACAGGGACTGGCCTCCTGCTGGGACTCTGAGGAGCACAGGGACTGGACTCCTGCTGGGACTCTGAGGAGCACAGGGACTGGCCTCCTGCTGGGACTCTGAGGAGCACAGGGACTGGACTCCTGCTGGGACTCTGAGGAGCACAGGGACTGGCCTCCTGCTGGGACTCTGAGGAGCACAGGGACTGGCCTCCTGCTGGGACTCTGAGGAGCACAGGGACTGGCCTCCTGCTGGGACTCTGAGGAGCACAGGGACTGGACTCCTGTTGGGACTCTGAGGAGCACAGGGACTGGCCTCCTGCTGGGACTCTCTTGTTGTGTTCTGCACTTTGAGTTGTGTATGAAATGTGCTATACAAAGAAAACTCGCCATACACTGCAAAAAATGATCTAATAAAATAAAAGCTTGAATTGAGTGTTTTTACCTCAGTCCGGCACATTCTGATCCATCAGATTCTCCAACGGGACACAGACATTTAGACTTATTTAAGAACTGTATTCTCCTCATTCCAAAGGAGACATTTCTTTAATATTTTAAAGCATCTTTTCACTTTGTTCCGTTGGAGAATCTGGTTTTAACAGAATGTGTTCGGATTAAGAAACCTTTTCCAGATTTGAACCCCGCTCCCATCTCTATGTGGAGTGAGAGGACAAGTGCCCAAAAAATAACAATTGTAAACCGCTTTGTGACTCTGGTCTGTGAAAGGCGGTATATAAATAAAGCTTACTTACTTACTTACTTACTTAACATGTTTTGACTTGGCATGATGCTTCTTTGACTTTGCTTTAGTGATAGAAGAATCCAAACAGAACTAATGAATCCACATCACGCCTGAAGGCAGCTCTGGAGAATAATAAAGTGTAAAAGTCAGCGGTAGTTTTTAAATGAAGCTGTAACAAAAGGAGGTGTGTACATTTCTTCACCATCGGAACTTTCTGCTGTTGTCTCTTCCTTCGGACAAAGCCACAGAAGAACCCTGTCCCAGTTTAATGCTCTAAAGGCATGAAACTACAGGAAACTCTAATGTATGTAGCTGCACATTATTCTGTTTGGAGGTAAACGCTCCTGGAGCTCTGCTGTTCTTGGGTTCGTCTGTCGTCCACTTCTCCGTAAATATTACACTAATGATCCTTGATGGTTCTCTGTGACACATGGTTCTCTCACACTCCTGTATTTCATTATGTAAAACAATGGGACAACTTTTGCATTGTTAAAAATAATAATTTTATACTGGGCTTTTTATGGATGCTAAAAGTCTCTTCCCATTGTAACGCTAGCAGGCTAGGGCGCTGACTGCAAAGTTTACCAGAACTAGATCCAGCCACGGAGCCAAGTGTGTGACAAAAAAACCCACCAAGATCCCGTTTAGAGCTAACCAGCAAAACAAAACATTCAATTAGTTAAAGGGGAAAATTGATTACAAAAATAAAATACATGCTTCTAAATGCAAGCAGATAAATACATTCTATGGTCATAACAATCATATACATATCAATAAATCAAAGTGAAGCTTCAGTATCAGATATATGTATTGATAAACATGCTCTTAAAAACAGCGCAAATTGACCCAAAGAACAACACGAGAGACACGCTCCACTGCGGGAATGCGGGTTGTTTTTACTTTCAAAGGATCGTTTTAGGCACAAATAGACCTGTCTACGCCACAGCAGGAGCAGCGTGTTGGCGTGAGTGGGACCGGAGAGGGGGGAAAGCGGCCCGCCACAATAAAAGCGTGGGGACAGTTGCACTGTAAAAAAGAAAAAGTTAGTTCAACTCGAAATTTCAAAGCAACCAGCTGCGAAGGATTTTTGAGTTGAAGGCATTAACTTAAACTTATTAAGTTGTGTCAGTTAAGTTTTCCATGTTCTGCCAACTAAGTGTTTAAATTCAAGTTACTGGAAATTTCAAGTCTGTAAAAACTTACCTTTTGAAGTTCAGATTACTGTCCCCTACAATAACTTACTATTTTGAGTTTAAATTAGCCCCCACATTAAAAGATCATGATGTTTATTTATATAGTGCATTTCATGGACCAAGGTCACTTGGGTAGGGAAAACTGGAGCACCCGGAGGAAATCTATGCAGACACAGAGAACATGCCAATTCCACACAGAAAGGCCCTGTTCCGACTGGGATTCGAACCCAGGACCTTCGTGTCAGAAGCGAGAGTGCTATCCACTCAGCCACCGTGCCGCACACACTGTGAACCAGAGGGGAAACTTAATGTTTCTAAGACTGACCCAGAGAATATACAGGGCTACTTTGGCTTGGCCCTGTCGATTACGGTTGGTAAAAATAAATACAGTGATTTTTTTGGTCAAATTAGTTTGTTCAAAATGTTGAATGCAGCTGGTTGCCATAACACATATTTAAATGAGCAAACGCAGATAAGTTGACCTCACTATAGCTCGGTGAACTGTAAAAACGACAACTCAAAATTGTTCACCTTACTCAGATTTTTGCATTCACTGACAATAAAATTTCCAGTTGGAACTGGAACTGTCTGTTGTGAGCCACTTGAACTTTCAGAAGTTCACTACAACTTCAAAGTCAAATCAACTTAATATATCAAATTAGATGAACTTTTCATCAGAAACTTCAGAAAGTGAGTTCAAGTGGCTCACAACAGACAGTTCCAGTTCCAACTGGAAATTTTATTGTCAGTGAATGCAAAAATCTTAGTAAGGTGAACAATTTTGAGTTGTATTTTTTACAGTGTGGCCGCTATTTCATGTGGGTTACACCATCATCATTCTTTCACTCCAAACACAGCAGTGATAAACTACTACTGTAGCCACAGCTGCCCTGGGCCACACTGACAGAAGCAAAGCAACCAGTCTGTGCCATCGGCCCCTCCCACCACCACCAACCATTCATACACACACCAGACTCATTCTAATGTGGGGGAAGTGTCTTGCCTAAGGACACAACCACAATTTGGCACTTTACAGCCACAGCCGCCCCACTGTGACACCTACTGTTCTCAGAGGTCTCCCATCACCGGTGGTGTAAGGGGCCGATGGCACAGACTGGTTGCCTCGCTTCTGTCAGTGTGCCCCAGGGCAGCTGTGGCTACAGTAGTTTATCACCGCTGTGTTTGGAGAGAAACAATAATGATGTGAAGTGTCTTTGTGTGTCCAAAAAAGGGCTAAATAAAAGTGATGCATTATTATTATTATTATTTGTATTATTTTTATTATCATGCTAATCTGCAAATCCAGTTCATAACGAAGGGAATTTGTCGGATTCAAAGCGTGTTGTGATGTTTGAGCCCCTGCTGCTCGCTGACTTCTATCACGTACGTTTCTTTATTGAAAACTGTTCCGGGGCCAGACTGTAAATTCAATGTCGGGGCCATTAGCAAAGACAAAGCACACACCCCGGGGCCACATTTTTTTTCTCATAAGCCCCCCCCCCAAAAAATCAAAACAAAACCAAAAATCAATTCCCTTGCACCTCGCAATCACAACTCATCCATCGTTCCTCTCGTCCTTTGTCTTGATATTGAGCGGCGACAAAGAAGCCACTCGAGAGAAAGCAATCCCAGCAACAATCGCCAGACGGAGTCACGTATCTGCGCGGAAAAAACAAAAGCAAAATTGGAAAAAAGGGTAGTTCAGGTACTGCGGCAAACTTAGCTCAGGAAATGAAGAGAAGGGAAGGTTCCTGGGATTTGAGTTGCACGGTCGGGGAGTCTCCGGCTGTTTAATTGGAGGCAGGG